ATTTTAAAAATACTTTGTATAAGTTTTTTAGATAACTTGATATTTATTAATTTAGGAAATAGTACATAATACTCATTACCTGTGTCAAGCTTCATTGGGATCCCATTCCTGCCTCCGCGCTTGGGGCTGCTGCTGCCTGCCCCCTCATGCTTGGGGCTGCTGGCTAGGGATGCTAAAATACAGGAGCAGGCAGTGGGTTTGTAAAAGTGTAACCACTGAAATTTTTAGCAGTTACATGTTTACACATGGGGTGGGGAGGCCCTCAGTGGGAGCTAGTGCCATGGGGAGCCGGCTTAAAAGCTGGCTCCCCATGCCTGCTGGATCCTGCCTGCTCTCTCCCCTCCCCATCTCCGCTCCCCCCTCCCCCGGCCACCCCCTGCCCTGCGAGCCTTGCATGTAACTCTGAAGGTTAACCAATGAGCCCATGCTTGGGGCTGCAGCTATCAGTCCCACACCAGCTCCTGCTCCCAGTTAACCAGTTACCTGTTCACATCCCTATTGTAAATGTAGGTGAGTGTGATATGATTCGATTGTGTTATTTTTAAATGAAATTTAGTATTTTGTGGATTAGATTATTGATTTAAATTAAAAAATATTTATTTTAAATTATTGATTTTATCCACCCTGTTGATGAGTCTCTGTTTAGTTCATTCCCTTTGTGGCACCTGTCATTGGCCATTGTTGGAAGACAGGATTCAGGGCTAAATGGATTACCGGTATTTGTCTAACCCAGTATAGCTGTTCTAATGATTGCTACATTGCCGAGAGACATGGAGCCGCTATAGGCATTCTGTATGTGCTGTCAGTGCCAAATCCTGAGCATAAAGTAGTTTGACTTCCTTCCTGAAGTTGCTCATTATATATACACACTACACAGCCTCATTGCATGCTCAGGATGGACAAAACCACCCCAGCACACCATGCTTACACTCTCCATTGATGTGTGAAGGGTTTGCATTCCTTGATCCTGCTTGGCACTGCCTGCCCACCTACCCTGGAGGTTTGTAGATTTACATGACAGTGTCTAATGAAGTTCCCAGAACTGGCTCAATCAGCCATGGTCAGTCTGGCTGACACAATGGTCTTTAGTAGTAGTGTTAGATTATTAGGACTTGACAGCAATTATTTAGGCACTTTATTTTCCCATTTCGCTTTTTGCATAGTTGACAAATTAATTTAGTGGAGGTTTCACTTTGGGTGTGAGGTTTCAGCTGTAAAGTTTTAATGTCATTTGCTTCTGGCTTAGGATTCTTTACTCTGAAAAATAAATGTTCCTTTTGGACTTTAGCTCATCCTGGGGTATGGAAAATGTACTTCTTGTGGGGTCCATTCATTCCTTGTTCTCTGCATAGACACTGTCAGCAAGAATGCCAATTGTTATGGTGGTCTTGAATATGGTTACCTAATCTGGGAGGGGCCACACCAATTCATTTTACACAGGGTATTTAAGAGCCATTACTTAATAACTACTTCTGGGCCCTATCTACAAGGGCAGAAAAGGTCAAATTAGCTCAGGTGAGTTAGTTGAACTTTTTTTAAAAACAAAACAAAAATCCCCATTACCCTTAGTGCCTATGTAAACACAGTGTAATGCTTTTCAGAAAGCTTAGGCTAAGCACAAGACCATTTTGAGTTAAAATCTTTCCTGCCTCTTCAGACAGGCCTTGGTTACTATTGACCCAACTCCTGATAGGACGTTGGCTACTGTATTTGAACCAATTATTTATAGGTGACAGACTTAGATTATTAATCCCATGAGTAATCCAGTCCCTCAAGGCAGCAATTTAGAAGGAGTTGCTTGATGATAGTACAGGTTGAACCTCTCTAGTCCGACACCCTCAGGACTTGACTGGTGCCAAACCAGAGAATTTGATGAACCACGGGAAGTCAATACGATGTAGCAGCATTACCAACATTTCCACTGCTTACTGGGCTCTTAAAAGACATTTAGGTGTAAGGTGGAGCTGAAGAACACCACAGAACATTGAGCCAAGACTGGTGGCTGTAAACAAACTTTGTGGGACTGTAGGAAACTTGGCCGCACTCACGATAAGCAGACATCCAGCTAACTGAAATCATATCAGACCACAGATGTTGCCAGACCAGAGTGTGCCGGGCTAGAGAGGTTCAGCCTGTAGTCAGGCTTTTCTGACCATGAATGATTTTATCAGCACGACAAAATCTTAATCAGTAAAACAAAAATGTGGATTAAACATGTGCCCCATTTAGACTGAGCAACCTTTTTATGCTTCACTGTTATCTGTAATCTACACAGGGTTTTGAACATTAACTTTTATTTGCTCTTTTCCTTCTAAGTAACTCAAAGAAAACAAAGTCTGTATGACCAAAGCTTTGTCTTACCTTTTTTTTTTTTTTTAAACATAAAGACACAGGATAGTTTACACCCAAATTAGCTATCTCAGGCCAGCTCAATACCTAAAACATGGGTTTAAACTAGTAACGTTGATCAAGGCTGTGAAAAATGTCATGCCCCTTGAGACACTGTTAAGTTGATGTAACCCCCACTGTAGAAGCTGCCAGGTCCATAGAAGAATTCTGACATCAACATAACTACCGCCTCTTGAAAAATAGAGTAGTATGGTTGTAGTGCTGCAGCTGGGTCATTGTAATACTTGTTGTATAGACATACCCTCAGCTTGGGTATGGGGAATGCGAGTGCAGTGTCTTTGAGAAGTGGTTCTCAACCAGAGCTATGTGTATGCAGAGGATCTTCCAGGGGTTCATCAGCCGATCTAGAGCTGTGATCTCCAACCTTTTTATGCCTAAAATCACTTTCTGAATTTAAAGACAACCCAAGATCTACTTTTCCCTGAAGCCCCACCCTGCTCACTCCATCCCTTCTCTCTCCATTGCTCGCTCTCCCCCACCATCACCCACCTTCACCAAGCAGGGGCAGAGGATGGAAGTTTGGGAGGGGGTTTAGGCTCTAGGCTGAGGCCAAGGGGTTCGCCTATGAGAAGGGGCTCCAGGTTGAGCCTGGGGCAAGGGGTTGGGATGCAGGAGGGGGTAATGGCTGTAACCTCCAGGAGAGAGTTTGGGTACAGGAAAGGGTTTTGGGCTAGGGCAAAGTGTAGCGGTCCAGGAAGAGAATATGAGGTGCTAGGACTTAAGATGCAGGAGGAGGTGTGAAGTCCTGGCTCTGAGAGGATCGCTGAGTAGAGATTCAGGGCTGGGGTTTGGGGTGCAGAAGAAGGTATGGGTTGCTGGCTCTGGGATGGGAGTCGTATTGGAGCAGTGGATTGGGATGCACGAGGGGGCACGGGATACTGGCTCCAGAGGAGGCTAGGTGTTGGTTTGTGGTCTCCTGCCAAGTGGCACTTACTGTAGATGGCTCCCAGTCAGTGACATGGTGAAGCTACAGCAGGCTGCCTGCCTGCTCCAGTCTCATGCTGCTCCCAGAAGGAGCCAGCCTGCCCCAGGGATGGGAGGCAGGGGACTCTGGCTCTGCACACTGTCCCTCTTTGTTGGCACCACCCACTCAGTCCCCCCCTTCCTAGGCAATGGGAGCTTCAAGGGTCAGTGCTTACAGGCAGGAGCAGTGTACTGAAACTTCTGGCCCCTCCCTTCTAGACACACAAGGCTGCGCTGGCTGCTCCAGAGGATGTGCTGGCATTGTGGGTTCAGGGTAGGCAGGAAGTCTGCCTAGCAGCAGCTCTGCTCCACCTCTGGAGATTGCAATCAACTGGGAGACTTCCCAGGATTGGCTAGTTGGTCATGATCAACTGATTGGTGACCAGTGATCATTCTAGGTTTTTGCCTAGTTTTACAGCAGGCTACATAGAAAGCTCTAGCAGAGTCAGTCAACTAAATACAGGCATGTTTATACTGCTCTGAAATTTATGTAGAATATTTATATTCCAGTTTATTTTATCATTATATGGTAAAAATGAGAATGTATGTAGCTTTTCAGTAACAGAGTTATGACACTTTTTTGTGTTAGGTCTGATTTTATAAGCAAATAGTTTGTGAGGTGAAATTTGGGGTTATACCAGACAAATCAGATTCTTGAAAGAAGTACTCTTATCTGGAAAGATTGAAAACCACTGTCCTGGAGTACCTTTTTAACCTGGGTTCTCTGAGTGGGTGCATAACAACCTTTGGAGATTGTAGTTCCTGGTATGAGCCAACCTTTGTTTTTCAAGTGCTTAAATCTTTGTGCTGCATGTTGCTATATAGAAAGTTGCTTGTTACAGAAATTTATGTTCTTTGATCCTTATCCTTGGGTTGAGAGGTTTTATGTTTGATTTACTGCTCACCCCTCTGCTGAGAGCTGCATTTTTAGTGATGAAGCCATCTTATTAGTATTTTCATCTCTCCTTGTAGTTTTTCCATTTTAACTATTTACTGCTTCAGGGGTAATCACTTACCTGAATAGGACTTATTTAACCTTCTGCAGTTTTCCTCTATTTTAAAATAGTCTAAGCTTTTCACTCCAGTTAATCCCCAAAATAAATACAGATATTTTAAATCTCATTTTTAATAGTGATATGAACTGGCAGAAGAGAATGGACGATCTGACAATGCAAAGACTAGTGAAAATTTTTCTTGTAGCCCACAAGAAAGCTAATTAAAGGGTTGGGAACAGCAAATACATGGGTTTTGCATAATGCTTCATCCCCAAAGTGCTGTCCAGCAGCTTCTCTGAGGGTAAAAGGGGTGAATGTCTTCTGGCGCAGAAGTAAAACAGAGTAATGATCTTAACGTAGGAATATTCCAGTCTCAAGGGAAGACACGTCTCACTCAGGGCTGCTAAGCTAATAAGGAAAACAGTCTCTTGAAATAAGGGCGTGACACCTTGGGAAGTGTTGAGAAATAGATTAGAGATGATGCTGATTAGATACAGTTTTGCTCAAAGCGAAGATGAGGCTGCAAAGTTTAGAGCAGTGATACTCAGACTACAATGGTTTAGGTTCAATTTTAGGTTCATTTAAGAATTACTGGTATAGTCTCCAAATCCATACAAAGTACAAACTTGGTACTTCAGTGCATAAACTATGCCCATAGCAGTCACTGTCTTCCACTTGCATTCTCAGTGTAAGTAACCGCATGTTGGATCACATTCTCCAAAAACAACTTCAGTACTCCCCATGTCTCCTTGTAAATGAGTCCTGAAATGGACTTCATGCCCCACAACGAGCCAAACAGCAAATAGCTGGCTTTGTAATACCCTGGATATCCTTATTCCTCTGACACTTAGTGTCTTCATTCCTGAGACCCTTATTTCCTTGCCACAGCCAGAAATGTTCACTAGATTTTCAGGCAGAGCCATAAAGATCCACATTACTGTGAATTCATTGTTTCATTTACCTCTAGTGTTATATTGTGTTGCAATAAGTTATTAATTTACTTGCTATGAAAATATTATAAGTTGATAATGTAAATGCATTTCAGGACTAAAGTTTAAATTCCTTTGATTGTGCCAGATATATTTTGAAATATGCCTTTGATATAGTTTTGTGAAATTGTATGATCTTTCCCATCTCACATTGGGGAACTTGCATGTGGATCCTCCAAATAACTTTTTAGCACAAGGAAATGGAGGTAAAGCAAAACCAGAATTAGGAATGGTTCCAAAAAGGTTTAAGGATTTGAGTTTCTTTTACGGATAAAATTTGTGCTAATTTAATGTCTCTGGTTGTTTCTTGCAGTGAACACCTACCTCTTCATGATGCAAGCCCAAGGCATCATGATTCGTGAGAATATGAGAACAATAGGAGCTCAGGTTTATGAGCAGGTGGTCCGCAGTGCCTATGCCAAGAGGAACAGCAGTATGAATGACTCAGGTATATTTTTAGTAATTAAGTCGCTTTGATTAGAATTCCCATTACCTTTGGAAAGTGACTCAGTCTAATCAGTTATTCTTGAGGGAACTGAATGCATGGATAGACACAAGAGAAGAGTTTGCCTTTATATCTTCCTCTACATGCCCCCTTCCTGAGATGCCTTAAGTAACTTTGAGATATTTACAAAATAAGACAAGAATGAATTCTGGGTAGCATCCTCTCTTCCATCTACTTTCTAGGGATCCAGTGTGTTACATCTGTGTGCAGCACATGTGAAATAACATTTTGACACCTTGAAGGGTTAATAGAAATTTGTGTGAAAATGCTTATGAGTTCCATTGTTCATGTGCATGAAAGGAGCTAGTTGCCCTACGTTTGTTTATTTATTGTTCAGAAGTTGCGGTAGATTCAGGGGTTCTGACTCCAGGCTCGCTGACTATTTGTTTTAAACTGTTACACTGCATTCCCTCTAATAATGTAATGCTGGTTTGAGAGCTTTGGATATATGACTTCTGTATTTTAATGATCCCTTTGAACCAAATTGCTTTTCATACATGCCTAACTCCCTCTTACAGTAGTGGCCTACATTTAAGTCCTCCACAGGAAATTTTCTTGTCAGTTCTCTTAATTTGGTCTTCATCCTTTTATCTTTTTTTTTTTTTTCTTTTAGACAAGTGTTGCAATTTTACATTATACTCCTGGGAGACACAAAACAAAACTTGCAGCCCAGAAGAGAGGGATTTTAGGTGCCTGTCACTACTTCCACTATCCTAATTGTTTTTAATGTAGGTAGCCCAAGCCAAACTGATGCTAGTTCCTCAGACATTGCTACAGCTATTGTATGCTATGCAGAGACAGATTAAGATTTATTGGGGACCTGGGCACAAAGAACATTTGGGACCCCGGTCAGAGACAGCCACTGCTAAGAGTTGCTCATGGAACCTAGGCTGCTTTGAGGAGGCCCAGATGCTCCTTCTGTCCAGGGCGTCATCCCCTGGGGGCAGGGACACAGGCAATGATTTCCTGTCAGAGACCTGGTACTAGGAATGTTTAATATTGGTTTATTGACTAGTCGATTAACCTTATGAATTCTTATCAGATACTCAGCTATTCTATAGTCCCCAGGGGCATAGCTGGCAGCCAGTGCACCTAGCTGCTAATACACTATAAATGCAGAACTGCAGCAGGGGTAGGTCTTGGATTCGGCGTGAGCAGGGCTGCTGGGTAGCCTGCTAAAAAATGTACTGGTGGGGTGGGGAGAAATGTGTTGTAGTTTATAGTATTAATCTATAAGCTTTTGCTTATCAATTAATTGACTACACTATTACATCCCTACTTGGTACCCTACCCAAGCAAGGTGGAGAGTCTGGGGCTCCCACTGCAGCTGGGCTCCTGAGGCAGCTCTTTCCACAGCTGAGGGTGATGATACGGCCTATTTAGGGTGGGATAAGTGGCCTTTTAAAGCCGAGCCCTAAACACTCTGCTTTTTTTTAAAAAAAAACAGAACTGGGCATTTGTCTCACTTTCTCTTGCCACCTGATGAAGCGGCAGGGCTATGGTGAGGGGAAAAGAGGATGTTGGGTCAACTCATTCCAGAGGTTGGAGGTGGGGGTTCAGTGTCCCATTTTCTCTTTAGGATATATGCTCATTCTGCCCCAGCTTGGCTCCTGCTTTCAGCCTGGCCAGAGTGTGGGGTCTTTGGGGAAACAGAAGGAGCAGGCGGTGGGGCCACAGTTCTGGTGCCAGTGGGACCCCCACTTCTGTACAAGTTCTGGAGCTCCTGCAGGAACCCCCAAATTGGCCCCTTAGGCCTGCGTGTTAATCCTCCACTGCTGCTATGGCTCCATCCCTTCCAGCTCCCAGAAGGCACTCCCCTAAACTGGAGTTTGCCGAGAGAGCCTCCTAAAACAGCTTGCTTAATTCTTACACCCAGAGAAATTCTTTCCTGTTGGAGTAAAGGAGAACCAAGATTTAAGAAAATAGAATTTTCTTGTTGGTCTAGGTCAGCAGTTCCCAAACTATAGAGTGGGCTTGTCAAGGGAGGGGCAAGCTGTATATTTAAGAGCTAGCGGCTGTCAGCACCCGGTGGCTGGGTTTCATTCAGAAGATCCATGCACACCCAAGTAGGGAGGGGGGAAGCATAGGATAAAGGTCAGAGGTTCTTAACTAGAGGTACACAGGACTTTAGGGTTGTTTGTCTAGTTTTACAACAGGTTCCATAATCAGCACAAATTAAAATTTCATACAATGACTTATTTATACTGCTTTTATATTATACACTGAAATATAAGTACAATATTTATATTCCAGTTGATTTATTGATAATTATATGGTCAAAATGAGAGAGTACACAAATTTTCAGTAATAATGTGCTTTTTTGTTTCATTTTGTATTTTTAAGTCAGATTTTGTAAACTGGTAATTTTTAAGTGAGGAGAAACTTGGGGTATGCAAGACAAATCAGACTCCTGAAAGGAGCACAATGGTCTGGAAAGGTTGAGAGCCGGCCACTGGTCTAGGTAATATAGTGTCACTTGTTCTCTTGGCTATATAAAGAATTCAGACTTAGGACTTTAACCAGCATAGCTAATTTGGTCACATGCACATATACCCTGCACCTGACTGATATAGCTGTGCCAGCAAAATTGTTGCTGTACATAGACAGATTTATACCAGCAAAAAACTCCCTTTGTTTCTATAGTTTATTTGGTTTGGAGAGAAGAGTAAAGCTAGTGTAGAAATTACTGGATAAATGTAAATGGTTACTTATAATGAAGTGCTGGAGGCATTTCTCTCTAGAACTAAGAGTTAGGCAAACTGATGTCCTCCTGAAACTGCTCCTTTCAGTGTTAACACAGAACAAGTGAGTCATTGTTGGGAAAGTCTCCAGTTACGTTAATGCAGTATCGGGCTGGAGCAATGTCACTGAGTCTCAGACAAGACTCCCACCTTCTGAGGTAAATCCCTCTGTTACTGGGTTTCAGTGTGAGAACAAAAGAAGATGAGTGTTACAAGACAAATGTTTATTTTTATGAATAAAATTCAGGGTCTTCGCTCTGCCTCACCTTTATACATAGGGAGTGGGAGTTGCTGTGGTGGTTTGGTTACACCCTTTTTAAGCTTTTCTACCATAAAGTCTGATTGTTGACCATTTGATCATTAATGGATTCTCAAATTAGCCAAGCCACAGGTAGCTCATTAAATACTTAGGCTATCTGGACTCACTATGGACCACACACAATCGAATCCTATTTGATGGAAGACCATTACAAAACCAAGCTGATCTGCAATGCTAATGTGGTAAAGACAGCTGTCACAGGCAATTAAATGTGATCATTCAAAGCCTGAATAAATGAGATCTCCATTATCTTCTGGCTCTGCTGCAGTTTGCTTTTAAAGAACAGAAATGTTATCCTTGGTTGGTGGAAAATCAAGCTTTTGCACTACACAATTGAAGTCGATCCAGACAAATCACCACCTTTTCTCCCTATCATAACACTTTTAGTGGTATAATTTTAGAACAGCTTTATTATAAAACACCCTGGTGTAGTAACAGGATCCCACAGAAGGCAAACAGTTTTAACCTGTCAAGCTGGAGACATGGTTGGCTTTGTGTTCATTGGGGTATACCAGTGGTTTTCTACCAGTGGTCTGAAGAGTCTGTCAAAGGGGCCCAGGAGAGGTCACATTGAAAATAAGCTTTTCAGATCCCAGAAAAGGCATCCTGTTTTTCTGATCAATCAGCAAGTATGTAAATACCCCCACCTACAGGTCAAACCCCCAAAATATTGTTACCATAGTTGTCCACAACTTAATCCTTTTTCTCGAAGTGTGTCATATGCTCTGCCAAGCATGTGCCACCTTTATAGTTGAATTTGGTTAAATCAGATTTCAGTCTAAGGCTTCTATGCTAGGAGTCTGCAGACCACAAGATGAATTTCCACACCTCCATTAGAAATTTTTTAGGAGTTATCAGATTAAAAAAGGTTGAAAACCATTGGTATATACCGGGAGTTGGCAACCTTTTCAAACCCAAAAGCCAAACAACATCAAAATTCAGAACAAGTGGTCCGCAAAGAGTTGTATAAGAATGCCCATTTGCATGACTGAAAATAGACAACTTAATATTATTGATAATTGACATGATTAATAATAGCATAAATGATACATTGTACTCACAGACTTTAATGGAACTTCTGCTGCTGCATCTTTTCACACATTTCTTGGAAGTTTATATCATAAATGGTCAAATCCAGCTTCATGCACACATTCAGACTGTCTTCTGTCAATCTTATGACAGGGAGTTTGGGATGTGGGGATGCAGGAGTCTAGGTTGGGGGGTATATGAGGCACTGAGGCTGTCCAGAGTGTGGGACAGAGCTGCCAGTGAGTGGGATATGGATGGAGATGTCAGATCTGGGTGAGAGGAAGGGTGCAGGAGCAGGCTGGAATAGGGGGTCTGGTCAGGGGAGATGGGCAGAAGCAGGCTGGAGGGTAGGTGTCTTGCCATGGGGAAGGAGGCAGGTGCGGGCAGGAGCGTGCTGGGGGTGTAGGGTCTCTCTATGCAGGGGGGGCAGGTGGTGGCAAAGGGGGCAGGATCTGGGTGGCACTTACTTTTTTTTTCCCTCAGTGTCTGTAATGGTATTTTTTCATTGTAACATATGCAAGTCACACCCATGTGGCAGCCAGCCGCTGTTCCACATGGGAGATGGAATAAGGTAGCAGCTCAAGGCCTGAGTGTAGAATGGAGCTCATGCCTCACCAGGAGTGCAGAGAGTCTGGCTGGAAGGTTCAGGCGCGGATAGGAACGGGCCAGCTCAGTCATACTTTTTGTAGCTCTCCAGGCTGTCCAGGAACCAGCCTGCTGGCACCAGGAAGAAGGTGCTCAGGCCAATGATGGACTCCAGCAGCCCCACGGGGCTCTCCGGCTGGTGCAAGTGTAAGGTGCCGGTGGCGCGAGGTGGGGGCAGAGCAGTGTGTGGAGCAGTGGGGACATGGTCA